TATGTTTATTTCATTTAATTAATGTATGATATACTGAGCTAAGATTGTCGGTATCCGATCTGAAATTCATAGCATTGTTATGTTTTTTAATCTGCATCATTTCAAGGACTCTTCTCTTATTATAATTACTCTCGTATTACTTTATTTTTGTGTTATCAAAATCCAAATTATGCAACTTCTGTTCTGCATGCTGTGCTAATGTTGTACCATTTTCATTATTTTTTCTTAGGCTATACTTATGTTCGTATATTCTTTTCTTTAGATATTGTCCTGTTTGACTGACGTGTCTAACTTGTCAATCCTAGGTTTAAATTTTGTGAAACATTCATTTGCTAAGGTGTTTTTAGTTTTTTCTGCTATGTTTATATTATGTGGTTTGAATATATTTTTAATTTTTGTGTTAATTTCCGCAATATATGGTAAGGATATATACTTGATATCACCTTCTCTCCTTTTATTTATGTTTTTCCATTTAGTTGAATTGTATATTTTATTTATCCTTTGCTTTATGATTGGTTCAAAAAATGACCTTGGATTCAAGATTTTTTGTTCTATACTCCCAATGTGACAATTTAATGGCTCTATCTGTAAGTGCCGGTATTACACTTCTTTTATATTTCATTAGAGCTTACGATTGATAATTCAGATACCTACCAGACCATACCTCCTTTGTGTACCACTTTGTTTTGATTTCCCCGTTGTTATCATAATATAATTAATTGCTAGGTCTAGAAAGTTTATAGAATTTATTTTATCTTCTTCGAGAGTAAACTTTAGGGTGTCATGAAAGGCATTAAACTTATCTAGTGTATATGGAATTTTGTCTTTTGGGAGGCACATTATACAGTCATCCACATATCGTTTAAAAAATTCACACTTATAGTTTAATTTAGATATTATTTGTTCTTCCAAATTTTCCATTATCAAATTTGCAACTGTTGCTGCTATGGAAGAACCCATTGCGACTCCTTATATCTGTGAATAGAACTTGTTTTCGTACTGGAAATATGTGGATTTTAAGCACAATTCTACCGCCTCAATAAATTGTTTTCGGGTAATTTTGTATGTTCTTTTATATCTGCCCATTTATTTTTTATACAACTTATTGAGTAATCTATTGATATATTTGTATATAATGATACAACATCCAGTGATATTATCCGTCCATATATCTGTGAATAGAACTTGTTTTCGTACTGGAAATATGTGGATTTTAAGCACAATTCTACCGCCTCAATAAATTTTTTTTCGTGTTATCGATAGCTACATGTAAAAAAGTTTTTAGTAATGAACCGTTCTTTTATTGTAAATGCTCGTTTAGATTCGGATTCCTGCATAACAGTTGGATTTTGCCATGCTGTGTTGTTACTCATGCGAAATGAGAAATTACATTGCAGAAAAATGTATGAGAATGATCAAACATTAACAATCAAATTTTTCGAATTATTGGATTATGAATAGTCCAGTTAACTCGAATGAGTTTTTCCAATAATAATTTCCACAGTAATTCCATGTAGCATCTAGAGAGGAGTTAGAAGAATAGCATGAAAAGCCGCGAAAAATACAATATCAGATTTGTATCAAAATAAGATGCAATACGACACATTTTGGACAGGACATCGTTCGATTTTCAATCTTTACTGGAAATTGACGAGAGCTAACAAACGAGGCTTAAAAAAGAAGTTTGCTGATTGTAAAGGGTGGTACAAGTAACACCAGTTTTTTAAGCCGACAAAACAATTTGAGTTTGAAGACATGGAAGAAGTGGAAGCATTTACTGTTATACAAATGAGTTGCCGACAAAAACATTTTTTGTGTAGGAAGTTGTTAGATTCTCGTTTCTTCTTAGGTATTACCGCATCGATCAACGACCGAGAAGCCAATAGACATCAAATACGTATACTCAATATACAACAATAATTAATCAGAAGGAACTCAGCAAAAAAGTTTCAAAAGTAAAAATACACTTTTCATTGAACATTGTTTAATAGCGAAAGTAATAAAATATCAAAAAGGCCACAAACAGGAATTTATTTACAATAACTTTTTTCCTATTTCGATTGAATGATTCGAGGAATTAGTAAAAGCCTCGATGACGAAGACAGCTCAATTTTTTCCTTCGCTAGTCTAAGCTATGTGAATCTTCCTGATTATTCCACAAATAACCAAACTATTCATTTGCTTATATCATTAAATAACAGCATTTTCTTTGGTAACTCGAACACAAAATAAGATAGTAAATTCTGGTTTCTGTTATGAATTTCAGCTCAACATTGAAATCGGTAGTTTTAAGCCATTTTCGTGCCGTTATAGACATCGACAATTTCTGTTAAAATATTAAAATTGAACTTCACAAAATTACTGAGAGATTGATGTCAAAGATATACGACGGTGACTGTTGTTTTTTGCTTTGTAAAGAAAAATCGAAATTTTCTGTAAACATTTAGCGCATCAACACATTTAAATTAAACATCACAAAATGACTGAGAATCTGCTAATGCATTCGTTGTCGTCAACACATTTCTTCATGTTTATCTGTTGTTTACATCTCTATTTGATTCTTTATTATATATTAACAGCATATAGTAATGTACGATTTTCAGTTATTGACGCGAAACAATGATTTTTAATTTTTGTGTGGGTTGTTACTAACAGAATTAGGGTAGCGATATACAAAACTTTTAATTTTCTAAAAAAAACCTGGATTATTTTCAAAATATTGTATTAAATCGTGTATGTGTCATAATAAAAAGCGAGAAACTCTAAACTTCCTAATCCCAACCAACTTTCTGAATGCATAATTACCGACTTGAAAGTGTTAATCTTCCACATCTTTGTGTATGGTTTTTTGCATACTCATTCACTGTGACCAAGAATTGCCAAAACTCAACTATTTCATTAATGAGGAGCTTCCCATATTGTCTGATTTAATCAGTTTTTCGTCCACACACTATTCAAGGTGAGAAATTAGGGAAACAGATGCTGACCTTACTGTTACTTTTCTTACACGTAAATCATTTGATATAATATTGCGCAATTAATAATAGGTTAGAGTGAGTTACGCAATGTTGCATAAGTTCAAGTCCAATTAGCTGGGCATGAAATTTATTAGGTATTAAAACAAGCCAAGAAATCGCCAGTAAAAAAATCGACTGGAATAACAGTAGCCGGGAATAATGCCATACGAAAAGTGATTTAAATTTGAATATTAGTTAGTTTCAAGTAAAAATACGATTACTTAATCGGCAAACTTTATCCATAATTATTGTTAACATTCTAATATGATAATGTCAGTGGGTAGGTAAATAAATAGTGGCAAAAATCACAAAAAAAACATTTTAATTAATTAGCATTTAAATTGCTGATATAAACACTTACAGAAATTAAACATATCTTCGCTAATTTTCTATGTAAATTGAGTTGGATCTCTATCCATTGCACTAAACCTGAACCTATCCAACAAGATACCGCTGATAAAACCCATAAATTAATATGCACAACCTACCGGAGATCTATATGGTAAGGACAATGGGGGTCACTTTAGATTATCAACGGCGTATTATAAGCGATCTTTAGCGAGTAAACAACTGTTGTGATTCATTTTTTATGTATTTTGAAGGTAGGTGCAGTAAGAAACGTTTAAAATTCCTTGGCTTGTCGCTGATTTACCTACTACTTGACGTCGTAATTGTTATGCAAAAGCGTGGATGTGTAGAATAAAGCATATCATTTTTTTTCGCTGCCGAGATGATAAATCTGTTTGCCTGCGAAATATTTATCGATGAGCGCAACAGATACCGGGTGTATTTCTTCTAATCCGTTTGTATTCGTTTTGTAGAAATTTTAGAGGTGGCCGGAACCCGAGTGTTGCCTCCAAGTTCTGAGGGCTTTTTGAATACCAAAAGGCCAACATAATACTAAATAAGAAACAAGTGGGTTTTTCGGGTTTTTAGGCCGTCGTTCGGTAGAATTTCTTCTTGACGTTTCGCAAGCACGTGTGGCTTGCATCTTCAGAAGTGGTTTGCATTAACGCTTACACTGTTCTGATGGTATTTGCCTTTTGCGGCCCAATAAACGATTTAAAAATGTCTGAGATTTGTTAATTGGCACGGAAACAAACATATTTTTGTGCAAACCCATTAAGATTTTACTAAAAGCACTATAATGTTGAAAAGCGATTAGTGCATCAAATCAAAAACCATCGCCACTTGCCCAAAGTAGATAAACTCGGTTGCTTCAACAAAAGATCAGTCTTTCATAATTACAAATTGGTAGCAAGCTTCATTAAAATCCATTACATTATTCTCCAAATACGTATTTCAAAAAACATAATTGTTTCGGAAAACTTTAACCATCAACAGCATCAACAGCAGCCAAACCAGACAATTTTGCTTAATAAAAGTTAGGTCAGATCGTCTTCTTCTGAGCTAAAAAATATCGCAGTGCCCTTTTCATCATGTGTTTACGGGATTATGTGTATAATCTGAGCCACAAATCATGATTCATGAGCTCTCTAAAAATTCCGCGTCACACTCCGTTTCTTCCTTCTCTTACTAGAACAAAGCAGTAATTCAAGTGGATATTGTGCTGCAATTCGTCCAGCGCCAAGCCCTCTTATGGGTTTATTTATGATACTGTTTGGTCTTCCTCGTTAAGTTTAATAATTTGATTATTGATTTGATTTGATAACATATATGTATTCTTCGACTTGTTGTAATTTTTAGTGCTCTATTTTGATTGTGATGTCTTCATCAGTGTCCGCCATGGTTTCAGTTTTAGCGTAGTTCATATTAAGACCTATATTTTTAGCTGTTGTGTACATTTCTTTCAGCATTTTCGTCAGTTCGTCTTTCTTATCTGTTATTAAGGCGATTT